GCCCGTGGTACCACACGCCCACCACATGATGGGGCCGCCACCGCCGCAGCAGCACTTCGGGCCGCCTCCCCCGCCACCACCTATCAGCCACCCCATGCAGCACCCTCCCCAGGGTTCCGGGACGCCCCACATGGTGTACAACCCGAGCCAGCCTCCCCCCATGACCACGGCTCCGCCTCCGATCACCCCGCCACCAGGCCACATGATGGGCCAAATGCCACCCTACATGAACCACCCTCCCCCGGGACCTCCACCCCAACATAGTGGACCCCCAGTAAACGCGCCCCCTCCTCATCACTACAATCCCAACTCCATGCAGCAGTTCCCTGAAGACCAGGGCACCCTCAGCCCACCGTTCAATCAACCGGGAGGTCTCAGTCCCGGAATGTGGCCCGCTCCCAGGGGGCCGCCCCCTCCGCGGATGCAGGGACCCCCGCCTGGGCCCGGGCCCCACCACCCGGACCAAGGCCGCTATCGACCTTATTATCAGTAAATTGCCATCTCAACGACTGCGCTTGGAAAATTTCCATGGGAATTTGATTTGAGAAATATTCCAAATTGGAGATTTTCCATGTGAATATGAACTCATGTCCAAGCGAAACACTTTTTCATGAACGGACATCCGTGCAAAATAAATGGCTCTCCTTGCCCGTGTGCAAGGGCATTAAATTACCCAGGTCAAAATTTGGCTTGCAACACATAGCAAAAAAAAAAAGCGATAAGTATTATCATTTACGTTCACGATTTAGAGCCCCCCTTGAATTTCAGATATTTTTTTTTTTTTCCCATGGAAATATTCCAACTTTATCGTCAGGAAATTTGCAACCCGACTGGGCTGTACCACTTGTTTGAAAACAAATGTGATGGTAAACCTCAGGGTTGCAGTGTCTAAGTAGGTATTTCGATTATTTTGTTAAAACTGCCACTTACGGGTTTGTGGTGCACATTTTTAGTTATTCGCTTTTCCGCTGAGCAGACAATAGACTTGTGAAAGAGCAGAGCCCCCGCCCCCCCTTTTTTTTTTCAAAAAAAAATTAATGGTTTAAAGTAATTTTTCTGTTGTATGTCAGCTGACACATCTATCCAGGTACTTAACTTCATCAATGACGTTTTAACATTCAAATTCCATCTGATGTTGATCTTCAGAATTCAACTGTTTGACAAGGTTTTCAAAATCAGTTTTCATTCACATGTTGAGATGTTTCGTCCCGTTGGGTTTGTGTGCCAAGGTTGATGATAAAGTGACTTCACGTATGTTTTGGCAGTTTTTTTGCTTTTAACTGAATGTCACAAATAAAACTCGATTAGCACTAAAAAAAAAAAAAAAAAAGCGTTGTTTTTCAAGAGTATTTAGAAATTTCATTTCATATTGAAATTTATACATTAACTTTAACACATTTTTAAATGCTAGTTTTCAACACAAATTATTGCAGATTTTAGCATCGGTTATAACAGTAAAATCTGCATTTGATTTAATAACGGCGAATAATTAATGCCCCTTCCCAAAAGGTTTGTAATTGCCGACATTTGTCACAAGATGGTAACGAAGCACAACTTGTCTGAGTGAAGCGCCAACCAAATTGAACATTAATTCCTTGGCACAAAGAAGGCAGCAAAGCACAACTTTTGTCTCAGTGAAGCTCCTCAACGTAATTCAACACGCTTCCTTGCAACCAAAGTGCCATTTGATGGCAGCAAAGCACAACCTGTCTCAATGAAGCCCCTGAACTCACATCAACATAGTTTTTAAACACCCAAGATGCCAAAAAAAAAAAATTACAACTTTCGGCTCAATGAAGTTCAACTTGAAGGAGAAAACCAAGTGTGATCTCCTCTTGAGATTCAATCGCATGATTACAAGGCAGCATTTCATAACCAAGCCACCGCATTTTCTGAAACATTTACTCGGTTGTTTCAATTTCACACTTTCATGCATCACTAATGTCGATAGATAAAGGCCTCTTTGGGCTTCATGTATCAGACATTTATTTCAACGGCATTCTAGCAACAGTTTGATCCAATCAGCCATTTAAAAAAAAAACTAGCCCACTGGCTTTCACAACAAACATTTCCACTCTTGCATGAATGGTGGAAATTGAGTAAGGACAACTGTGTTTAAAAAAAAAACAACATAAGGGGTTTACTTGCACAGTACAAAAAAAAAAAAAAAGCATTAGTCACATTAATACAGATATAAACCAATGGCACATTGAATTCCTAAATTTTAAAAGTGGTGGTTCAGGAAATTTTGCAAAGGGAGACGTTAAATAAATTACGACTATAAACGTTACATACAAATCTGGAGTAGTATATACAAGAAGGGGTAAAACACCCCCTGTCCCCCCCAAAAAAGACAAATCTACAATTAAAAAAAAAAAAGTCATGTTGAATAAAGACAGCAGTATATTTTACAGAGTGGGGAAGAAATTTGAACAACTGTGTCTGTGTGCGTGTGTGTGTGCAAAGGAAGAACACAAGTGAACGAAGTGGTGATGAATTGAAGAGGTCGCGGTGAGCTGGACAATCTTAGCGGACTTCAGGGTACACCCTGGAACTGGTCACCAGTCAATCGGGAGAGACAAATGACCACTCGTACTCACATTTAAGGACAATTTGAAGTTTTTGTTGAATGGGGAGGTCAGAAAACCCAGATATGTGAGGTCATCGTGTCGCCTACATCCTGAGGAATGGCTCCAATTAAATTGCGTTATTTTCATTCCATTTTTGCTCGTGTTGCCTTCACTGGGTTGCAATTTTCACAAAAATCTGAGTTTCACTTAAAACAAAAAAAAAAAAACAAGGCCTTTTAGACCACACCATCAATCATTCTGTCTTTCTCTCTCAAGATGTTCCACAAGGTTCCAACCTAGGTCCTCTCCTTTTTCATCGCTCCACTGAGCCAGCCATTTTACAAAAGCTTCTTGTCGTCTTCGGGTTTGTGGGGGTGAGGTGGAACAAAAGCCAAGCTGGCTGACTTTGGGCGAGAAGAAACAAGCATTCACACTCTCATTCATATCTATGGCCGAGTTATCATCTTCAGTGGACCAAATATGCACATTTTTGGGGGGAATGTGGAAAGAAGTTGAAGTACATGCCCTCGTGAGTTCATTTTCGCTTGGGTCGCCTTCAGCGTGTCGCATTTTTCATGGGGACTCTGGAGTTTCGGCCAAAATATGTCGGGAGAGGCAAGTTCCATCAAGCAGTCTTGTTGATTTTGTCTTTTTCGTTCGATGTCCTTTACACATTTGTTTATAGTGGTTCGTGTAAAGGGAAGGGAGCATTTGTCCACTTTGTAAACACTCGCGAGGAGATTCTGATGGGCTTTCACAGTATATTTTTTTTTCTTGAGATTGTGGTGGCATAGACACAAAAAAAAAAAAAAAAAAAAAGACTAAAAATCCTTCATGAACCGTCACAGGTGGTCCTAAACTGGGATCCGGCAGCTCCTCCGTCATTCCTCCCCCTGAGTTTTTTTTTTTTTTTGTCTAAGTTAAATCTGGAAGAAGAGGAAGGGGGGCTAGGGTTAGTAAGAAGGAGAGTCGGGAAGAAATCTTCATGCCGGATGCGTCGCACAAGATGTGGAATGGTACTGTGTGGTCGGACCGCGGCCTTTTTTTTTTTTTTCACTCCCCGTTTTCTTCTTTTCTACCAAAAACACTGAGATATTGCAGTTCAAGAGTCCGGGCCGCTTCCCACTCTAGGCATCAGATAGGCAGCTCTGAACACTGTCCATCCACAGCTGAGCGTTGAGGCTGTCCTGGGCGCAGAAGTTGTACACTCGTTTGGTGGTCTTGAGCTGTCGTTGGAGAGTGACGGGCGCACAAGGATACAGATTAAAACATTTCGTATTACCTTTAGGGTTTGTTTGGCCACTGATAGATGAGAAAAAAAACTGGTTTCTTACTGGTGAATGCATAATAATATTCACATGCATACATTCTTTATCCTCTGTGAAAAGCTACTAATATTGTCGCAGCTTGCTGAGCAGTTGTGACCGTCTTCGTATGCATAAATTATACTGCCCCCAGGTGGCCAAGGCAAGCACACCAGAAGGAGCCGCATAATCTATTCATGAAAACACAAAGCACAAACTTTGATTCTTTACATTCTATTTAATTATCTCATTAATGTTGTTTTTATTTATTTTTTTTATGTAAGATATGCAACATTTGTTGTATTTTGGGGAGCCGGAACAAATTCATGGCATTTCCATTCATTTCAATGCTGACCATTACTTGAAATTGGAATATGTATTTTTAGAATAATAATGTATTTTGTAAAATATACTTTATGATAAAAAGTAGAACCATTTATAGACACTTAACATACTTGTCTCATTTGACAGCAATAATTCGCTAACTTTATTGTCACGTGCAGGAGGGACTCACATCGAAGAAGGCTTTCTCCTCGATGTTTTTGGGCGCTCCCATGGCGGGCGTCCCGAGAAGGACCGACTCCACGTCGGCCAACTCGATGACGCCTTTGCACTCTTTGTCCTGCCTGCTCTCGTAATATCGCAGCTGCATTACACGAAAAGGAAGAAAAAAAAAAAAAAAGAACATTACCATAAAATAGGTTCCATAAACGAACAGACTAATTCAGGACGACAATGACAAAAACTCTGTTGTTGAATTCTTCGTTCGGGTCCTACCTGATGTTTGGTCTTGTCCAGCACAAACCACCGTGGTTTCCATGGTTTCAGCAGAGCGCCTCTCTTAAATAAAACGCCTTCGAAACTTCTAAGGCGACACAGAAACAAAGCGATAAAATAACCGCTGCTCAGGAGCACAATTTCAATGGGAAGTGAAACATGAAGTCATGATACACAAACTGTGTAATTCCTTTACAATCTATTTAATTATTACGGGATGTTTTTATAAAGTCTCATCCTATTGAGTTATTTTTCTAACCCAAAACCACACTCCAAATATTTTTTTGTCGGTGCGTTTAAGGGTGCTGGAACAGATTGATGGCATTTCCATTCATCTCAATGGGAAAAGATGATTTGAGATGCAAATGCTCTCAAACATTTTTTTGCAGCATTTATTTGGATTCATCGCCCAGCCCGATCAGACACACACCTGTTCTCACTCTCGGTACTCTGGAATTGACTGTAGAGCGTGCTGGTGCTTGGGCGACCCGCCACCGGAGTGGAGGTCGCACTGGCCTCGCAGTCCAGGGCCAAGTTGATAGAGGAGCCCACGCCGCTCTCCTGCAGGTAGACGCCCTGAGAACGCCGTTGGTGGCTCAGGTTGGAGGACATGAGCAGCGAGTTGGAGAATGACGGCTAAGAGAGGAGCAGGAAAATGTGGTGGGAGAGAATTTTAGTGTAGTAGGACTTGGAGGAAAATAAATTTGGATTAAGGCCCCAAAGAGAAAATATGAGTAAAAGAAAAAAAAAATTAAATCACTTTTCGTCTCACCTTGCTCTCCAGTTTGGTCTCATTCCTCTGAGCGGCCTTGATTTTATCCCACGTGTCCTTCCACTTCTCCGACGCCTGGCCGAGCTCGCCCTCCAGTGCCTGCAGGTCCTGCAGCAGCTTGGTGATGGCGTCGGGCAGCGTCTTGCTCAGGCTATCATAGCACGGCCACACGGCGCGTCGCCGCGACTTGGGCGCGCCGCTGTCGGGCTTGTCGGGCGCCTCCTCCGATGTCGCCCGCTCCTGGCGGCCCCGCAGCTCCCAGTCGTATGACGGCCCTTCTGAGAGCGTCTCCTCCGTGTAGTAGTCCCAAACTTTCAGGTTGGAGATGAAGGTGTATGGCCGAAGCACCTGCGTGTCCATTGCGATTTTCGAATGGCAAAGGCGGGAATTTGGAAAAAGAAAAAAAAAAAACTTGCATATTGAATCACAATCATCAGATCATAAGATATTATTTTTCAAAATCATTCAGCCCTGATCCAAAAATACATTTTTCTCAAATTACTCGACTCATGGATGGGCTAATCGGTCGAATGATCAATTATAAAAATATTCCACAGCTGCACCCTGATAGGTAAGGATCAAAATAGCGTTCTGACCTCATAATCCTCAGGCGCGAACATGTAATTGAAGAAGACGGGCGTCTTCTTGTTGAGCCGGTCGATGTAGTCCCACACGGACTTGCACACCTGAGGACTTCTCCTCTCGCCTTTTTCCTCATAGAGGACTCCTGCAAACAACGGTCGAACTGAAGTCAAAAGCAGCCAACAAAAAAAAACGGGATCTTGCCACGAGTGACGGCGGTACCGAGTTCAATGCGCTCGTAGTCCGAGTCGAGCAGGAAGGTGCGGAAACGGTTGGACACATAGTGATAGGCCAAGAACTTCAAGTAGTACTGGCTGAACTCGAACTCCATGGGGAACTGCAGGTGGATCTGAGGAACGAGGGATGCGACAACAGATATAAGCGGGGCATCGCAAAACTGAAAACCGGCCGGAGTCAGCTGGGGAGGGCAAACGACGCCGACAGAAATTGTCTGTCTGAAGTACGCACTTGATGCACGCAGTCGAGGAACTGCAGAAAGACGGGGGTGAAACCGCTGCTCTGGCTGCCGAGCGTCTGCGCGCCGCGGTGACTGAACCTGTGGCCGAACGACAGCCACTCCTTCTCCACCAGCAGCCGGAAGCCGTCGAACGTCCGGTAGTAAGGGTCGGACAGTAGCTGCACTAAGGAGACCACCTGAAGACGCAAGGCGGTGTCCCCGTGTGAGCTCGCAGAGTCCGTGATGGATCTGGTTTCTAAAAGCTCCAAACCTGGGTGGTGACGTCCCAGCCGTCCTCCAGGCTGACCATGACGGATGATCCCGTGTCCAGCAGCTCCACCACCAGGACGGACACCTGCAGTACCCTGTGCAGCTACACGCGCAGGCGCAGGAACACAACATACCGCGTCAGGTCATTCGTCGATGGGGAAAAAGTAGATTCTTTCCAACTTCTGAGGTTCCACACTCTAAGTAGTGGGATTTGTCTCGGAAATGGGACTCACAAGCGCCATCCACTCCGACTCTTCCAGGCAACGCAGGAAATTCGTGCTGGGGTCCGAAGAGGCCGAGCTGGGCACGCAGGCCTTCATGAGCTTCTTGAAGCTGTTCTTGACCTGCCGCACGTCGCATACCTCGATGGGAACCACCTCCCACTGCTGGAAGGAGTCCTGCTTCCCGCCCTGAAATACAGAACACACCACGGTCCCGTGTTCATAAAGACACTGCTCTTGTGGCACGTTGGTACCAAGGAACTAAATTCAAGTGATGGGAGGAGCTTCATAGCATTGGCGAAGAGAAACTGCTTTGTCACCACCTTGTGGTATCTACAGGCAATTACAAACCTTTTTTGGTCGCCGTTTTGGTTGGCTCGATCAGTATCTAATCTCAACTATAGCCACACTTGATTGTTTGAATTAATTTGAGGAATCTATTGCGCAATAATAGAAATATATTTCTGACATTATTTTTCCTCCCCTTCCTAAAAGATAGAAAATTGAGATGAATATGGATTCTGTAAATATGTGCTGCCGTCTTGTCAGAAAACTCTCGATTGAGGCACGGCGTTTTATTTTGTAGACCAACAAATGGGACTTTTGTCTGTCGCGACCGCGAGTCACCTTGAGCTGGGCCTTGTCCCCAATGATGTAGAGGTAGGCCCTGTGCTGGCGGAGGAACAACGCCTCGCTCGGCCCGCCGTTGGGCTGCGGCGACTCTTTCCCTGCAAGCCGCGTCCCCACGTCCGGATTGTAGGCGCTGAGCCGCCCGCTTCCTCGGATGCTTCCCCATTTCCCTGCCACACACAATACAAACGACTGAATCGCAAAAAAAAAAACTAAAACAAAACAAAAACGGAATCGCACATGGAATCAGGTACCCTTTGATTTCAGTCAGCCACTCAGTTTTTTCCCCTGATCAACCTACTAGCCATGCTGCTAAACAGGATAGAAGAACTACCCGAAACCAGTTTGCTACATGTAGTTTGATGCAACTCTTGCAATTTGGACCAAACGGATGAATCAAAAGTGAAACGTGGAAAGTGGACAGTAGAGCTGCAGTGCAAGCATGCGCGTGCACACACACACACGGCATAAAAACTCAGATTGACAGTAACAGTAACGAAGAGGCCATTAGTCCAGAGATGCACAACACTACCAGGCGAGGACGCCAGACACAATTCTGTTCAAGAGACTTGATTAGTTGGAGGGGAGGGGAGGGGTGGGCGTGGCCTACTGTACCTCTGGTAGAGTTCCTGGCCTTGCCAGACACTTTGGGCTGAGAAAGGGAGATGACTTTGGCCCTTTGACTAAGAGCTGAGGTCAAATGACAGGCAAAAAAATAAATAAATAAAAAAAGACCATTGAGTCTTCCTTGTGGCGCAGTCTCAGGCTGGATACAAACCGCAGGTCCAAGTTCCCGATTCCAATTTAAAACTAATACAGTGGTGCCACTTGAGGCACAAACACACGCAGTGGCGCAGTCTCAGGCTGGATACAAACCGCAGGTCCGAGTTCCCGATTCCGATTTAAAACTAATACAGTGGTGCCGCTTGAGGCACAAACACACGCAGCGTCTTCCCTCCTCTGCTGAACGTTCCGGGCACGTCTTCCTTGGCGCCCATCACTTGCTTCATCAGAGCGCCGATCTTTGGCTGCCGCCGCTTATCCGATGAGTCTGGCAAACG